TCGCGGGAGTCGCGGCAGCAGGAAAGCGGCACTCGCACGTGACAAGGCTCATCTATAATTAAGCGAGGCCAAAAGCGGAAAGCTGACTGAAAAAGTAATGCAAGCTGCTAAAACACGCCTGCATGCGACAAGCTGCGGCTTGGCTGTTGTTCGAGCCATGCACGGAAGCATGTCAGTTGAAGCAAAGTAAAACAAATATGAGTGAACACATGAACCGGACTGGAACGGCGCCTGGATGTTTTCATCTATCTCCGCCAGGCCGGAAACCGTCGCCATCGTGGCTGCCGGGACCGCCAGGTCGCGAGCGCCTCTAGCACCGTGGCTGGCACCCCGCCGGCCACGAGTGCCGAAGCGGAGTCGACGACGACCCAGGGTTGGCAGCAACGGGAGGTGCTCCGACGCGGCCAGGTCGCCGAAGGCCTTCACCAACGTCGACGCCGGCCTGTCTACGGCCGGGCCGCATGGTCGAGGGCGGGGCGATTGAAATGCGCCGGTCCGTGGCGCCTCGAGCCAACTAAAGAAAAAGGTAAAAGAAAAAGGTGTGCACGACGAAGGACGGTGAAGCATGGCTGCACTCCTTTCTTCCGCCGGCTGGGCTGGCGATGGCTGTGATCCAAGCCGTCTGGCGAATACATCGCCGGACGGAGCACAAAGCAAAGACTAATAAAGACGTCGGGAGAGGCCCGCAAAGGCTTCACCGACGTCCCCCCGAGAAGCTTTAATTCCACGTCGCCAGCGACAAGGCCGTCGGTGGAGTCGACCATGTAGAAGACGGCGACGGGGGGAAAGCGACGGGCAAAAGCCGGCGGCGGTCACTGCCGGTGCTTGGACTGCTCGTGGCAGTCCTCGCACTCATGGTGCTCGTGCCGGTCGAGATCGACGGTGCCGCCTTCGCGAATGAGCGACGGCCGCAAGCATCTGCGGGGATGCCGCGACAGTTGGTCGCCGTGCACGGGTGCCCGCACCAGCCGGTGCACCAGATCTCGCCGTGGATCTTCTCCGGAATGCGTCCCCCCCCGGACGCCGGGCGGCAGGCGAAGGACATAGTATGCCGCCGTCGCCGACGAGGGCACCACGCCGCTCAATCTCCAGGGAGTCAACCAAGCCTCCGAGCAGAGCATGCGCCGGAAGTGGGCAATCCGACGGTATTCCCTCTGATGCCGCTCGAACTCCGCCAGGGAAGAGCCGTGGGCGGGTCGGCGGGGTAGCAGCGGGAACCCTTCGCCGGTCAAGGGGTTGGCGTTCGGGAACATCTCCTGCGGCGTCGGTGTCCTGGATCGCCGCGAGGAGCTCTGCCGGGCCTCCTCCGGACTCCAAACTGCCGCCTCATCTCGTCGGCTATGCGGTCCTGGTAGTCGGACGACCGCGGTGCCGACGGAGTAATAGTCGGCGGCCGACGGGTTTTTGTGCTTGCAGGCAATCTCGGCGTCGGCCTGACAGAGAAAGCCCAAGCGATGCCAAACCGCCGCGGGGCCGCCCTTGGCCGACGACGCCGGTCGTTCGGGTTTCTTCGGGTACCCTCCCGGCATGCCCGCCGGCAGCAAATCAGCCGCGGATGCCGACACGACGCTCCAGCCCACTCCATTCGGAGAAGAACTGGGAGACGTCGTCGCCGGAAGCCACAGCCCGGCGGACCAAATCCAAGGCCGCGACGACGTCGGCAGACTGGTATGCCATAGCGCCGAAAGGACCTAGCGGAAAGCTGAAAATCGTCGGGGGACGTGGAGCAGAAAGCAGCTGCAGCATCCACGTCGATTCGACGGTTGTCCATACGCTAGCGAGACGAGAGTTTACTCCCAAGGAGCTTCAGTACCAAGCCGAAGTTCGAGAGAAGGAGCCTGAGGACCTGCGGGCAGGGTTGAACAAGTTGCACCGCAAGTTTGAGCTCAGGAATCAGTTTTTCATGGGTTGCAGAGGAAGTCCGGGGAGCGACCACCGGATGTTATGTCCAGGTTCAGGTCGCTCAGGGCAGAGTCGGAGGGCAGAACCTTGGACTCGACCCTTGGAAGAAGCAGTTGTTGGAGACGGCCTTGCAAGGAAAGAAGAATTACGAGGATGCCGAAACGAGGTTCGTTTTTGGAGGTAGGTTGGCGGTTGTCCTGGGGCACAACGTCTGCAGCTTCGGTGGTGCCGTCAGGAAGGCCAGGCGGCAAGGCACGAGCTTGGTAACAGCAGATGCATTTTTGCTTTGTGCCGCAGGCCCGGCAGAAAGCAAGGTCGACTCAGAGTTTGTCCAACACTCTGGCCATGGGCGACTTGGTCTACTGACGGGAGCAGACCACAAGCGAGACGGGCACGACAAAAGACGGTTGCTGCTGCACAAGCGGCATGGGGCTGGTCGCTTCGTTGTGTTTGGGGCGGCAAGCGCTGCGACGGCGCGCGGGATCTTGGCCAAGGTGGCTTTAAATCGTGTGCACCGACATACTGCCGAGGCCATGACTTCGGCCACCGTGAACACAGTGAACACAGTCCCCAAGGGTTCCACTCGCCGTCTTCTGAGGTGAAGCACACGGCGAGGTACTCGTGGCTCTCGCAACGACGAATGGCAGCAAGGCTTGTGGGCCGCCGAGCTCTTGTCCCAGTGGGCTCGGACCGCGGCAGCAAGTTCAGAGACCATTCAAACTGACGTGGACAGTCAAAGAGACCACGTTCGCAGGCTTTGGAACGAAGGAGATGGACGGTGCCCTCATGCGAAAAATCCTCGGTGACGGCGATTGAAGCTTTTGAACCGCACAGCAATCGTTCCGATCTCGATCTGCTCGACCCATGAAGAAAATAAGCCCTTGTGAAAATAGCTTCTGAAAGCGAAGGGTTTTGATGGGTAGGACATGCATCTGTTGCGATTTGGGACTTGTAAGCTTTGGCCCGATTATGGCAATCGGCAGGATTCAAAATCGGTTGGGCGCACCCGCAGTTCTTAAGGCCTAGCTGCCACTGGAAGCGTTCCAAGCCACCAGAAGCGTTCCAAGGAGGACCCACAGACCGGAAACTCCCGAACAGATCCAGAAGGTAGAAGGCCGAGGCTCACAAAGCAGAGGGTTGGCCCGTTCAAACAGTGCAGAAAGAAGACTCCGTTTTCCGGAGAAGCAATCTAAAAGCGGAAGGCCGGGCGTCAGTTCAGGTCGCCCTGCAGCAGGACACCCAATGGTCTCGCCGTGAAGTTGTGAGACAGCTGCCTCCGAGGGGTAAATGTCTCGAATATCAAGAAAAGAAAAAACGAAGGCGCAGGGGCCATTGCAAAGGACGGGCCGCAAAGAAACTCGGGCTCCAGTGCCACCATGAACTGCTGGCGCACAGCACAATCAAAATCAAAACCCGTCGCTCTCAGAGGCTACTTTCACTGGACCGCTGCTATTACTTGTTCTACCATTCCTACCATGTTCACGATTCCTACCATTATTACCATTACTACTATTTACTATTGATACTATTACTACTATTACTACTAATAATACTATTACTACTACGACTACGACTACGACTACTACTACTACTGCTGCTGCTGCTACTACTCCTCCTCCTCCTCCTCCTCCCCCTCCTCCTCCTCCTCCTCCTCCTCCTCCTCCTGCTGCTGCTGCTGCTGCTGCAACTAGTAGTAACTCTATAAATCGTTAAGAGTAGGCATATTCTTACTACTGTTATACTACTAGTACTACTACCGCTAGTATTGCTACTTCTACTACTACTGCCTATTGCTACCGTTGCTACCATTGCTACTATTACTACTATTTCTTCTTCTACTTCTCCTCGCCTTGCGGGGTCTGTCGCGCCACTTTGGGCCTTCAGAGGGACGAGCCCGCGCTCGGCAATGCACTTAATTAGGGGCTCCAGAACTGAAGTGAGGTCATTTGCCCTGAAAGCCATACAGAACTCACATCAACTCCACGGTTTTCGAAGCAGGGTGTACCCAGCTAGGGTGAACACCTTAGCGTGGAGACAGGGGCTGTCCAAGAGTCTGGCAGGTACGTCTCGCCCGGGGTAGCCCAAGCGGAGAAAACCCCCCACGGGTTTCGACTCGCACACTCGCTCTCGCAGGCACGGCTTCACGTGGGGGCTTAGGGTTTAGAACCTCCCCATGCTCTTTTGCGGAATCTGCTTCAATTGCAAGCAGCTACCACTAGTACTACTACTACTACTCCTCCTGCTGCTGCTACTACGACTACTGCTACTTCTTCTTCTGCTTCTTCTACGACTACGACTACCACGACCACCACGACTACCACGACTCCCACGACTCCCACGACTCCCACGACTCCCACGACTCCCACTACTACCACTACTACCACTACTACTACCACCACCACGACGACGACTGCTACTACTACTACTACTACTAATATTTAGTACAGGTACTAGTACTCCTACTCCTACTCCTACCCCTACCCCTACTCCCACTCCTACTCCTACCCCCGCTCCTGCTCCTACTCACTCCTGCTCCTGCTCCTGCTCCTGCTCCTGCTCCTGCTCCTGCTCCTACTCCTACTCCTACTCCTACTCCTACTCCTACTCCTACTCCTACTCCTACTCCTACTCCTACTCCTACTCCTACTCCTACTCCTACTACTATATACTCCTGTTGCTGCTACCACTGCCGCTTCCGAGAAGAGCACTACAATGGCTGCGAGATCTGCTGGCCGAGGCTATGAAGTGACGGCAACGAGTAGTAGGAGCAGTACTCAACAGTAGGTGCATTTTCGGCACTAGTCAGGACATGACGAGCCACCAACAAGCAGAACATGCAAGAGTTGAAGGTTAGTTTTGCTGAGCCCTAACAGTCTGTCCTCCAAATCACGGATATTGGTGGCGACCACACATGGACATCCCGTTGCAACAGAAGGCTTCTAGCATGACCACTGTAATCCGAGGGATAGACACACCTAGGCGAAAAGGACATGTGAACAACCCTGCACGCGTGAAAACCACTTCCATGCACACCACGTGTTGCTATTCCATCAACACAATTTCACACTCCCCTCCGACTGCTGATTTTTTCGGATTGCCTTGGGACTTCCGGAAGTTTGGCCAACTTTCGCCCTGTCAAACGCAGTTCGGAACCTCGGTGAGTCGTTCATGCCACCGCTAGCTCTTACACCCCTGCATGTTTGGAACCCGGCATTTCAGCCAGCTCCTTGTCTTTGAATTTCAATGCGAACTGTTCCGCGTGCTGCTCATCCTGCAGATGGGTACACTCCGCCTCCACAAATACCAAGGCAACCTGGGAAGTAGACAAACACAATCCCACATGTCCTCGGCATAATCCAGCGCGGTCCACATCAGAATCTTGTCACCTTGGCACAGCTAGTTGTGTGCTCTGATGTGCTGCGCAGATTGCAATGACATCTGCAGAGTTTGCTGCTCTGGTTTTGATTCGCAAGAACACAATACAGCTGGTGCTCGAAGACAAAATGGTTTGCCACCTTGCACCAGGGCCGCATGACAGAGACATCCGGCCTGCTTTGAATGGCTGAGTGTCAAGCAATTTTGCCGGTCTTCTCTTGTCGCATCATGTACCGAACTTTTCCTGAAACCTGCTAAAGGCTCAGGGCTGAAGACAGCAAACACAACACCCAGTGAAGCCTGCTCGTGGGCACAAATAGTGGCAGGAAGACCTTGTGTCTCAACAGCTTCGAGTCCCCAAGGCCTCTCTCCTTCCAATCTCCATCTTTGAATCGGTACCTGGTTTCGAATGGCTCACTCTCAACTTGTCATGTTGGAGGTCGGCGGAATGTCTGGCTGGTTGCAAACGTTACATGACTACGCGATACTACGCGCACAGCTTCGAACGCTGCGAGTAGACTTCTTCCTCTTCCTCTTCTCCGGTTCGGATGTCCTTTCTGCATACCCAAACGCTTCAAAGACTCTTCAAAGTAAGCTGTCCAGCCAACCTTAACTTGATCAAACTCTGACTCGGCTGCGTCCTGCACCTGCAAGGACACCGTGGGAGCCCAGCCTGCGACCACCAAAGCAACATTGCGGTTCAGGTTGCAGGAGCTGCACCGACGGGACCTGGGATGGAGGTAACCTCCTCTTCGGGGACGAGCTCGTTTTCCTCCGACTCTTCAGATTTGTCGGCTCTGCCCCTCATTCAACAAAACGTCCAACTGCAGGGCTCTAGCTCAAAGTCATCACCGCTTTTGCAGCCACATGAGCAATACTCACCACATGTTCAGCGGCACACCACTTCAAGGAATGGCTTCCGTTTTTGAAATGCATCGCTGAGTATCAGGACGATTTGGCCCAGTCCCACTGAGGTCCTGTTCTTCAGCCATGCCGGCGAGGGCCCCTCCAAAACTAATTTGGCTGCTTGAGCCTTGAAACATAAATTCAAAGTCGCAGGTTCCGACCTAGATGGCAAGATAGGTTGGAAATGTGCCCACGCATGCCTCCTTCCGATTGAGAATCGTACGGTCATGCTGTTTCTGCGTTCACGCGCACCTCTCACCAGGACGGTGTGAATGATCGGTGCCATCAATGGCTGTTTGTACAGCTGGCGACGGTCAGCGTGATGATGCTGCCATACTGGTACCAATGGCAATTGACGGTGACGAAGATCGCGAGGGCGACGAAAATGCTGATGAAGACTGACATCGATGATGATGACGATCATCATCATCATGCTGGTGATGATGCTGGTGATGGTGATGGTGATCATAATGGTGAAGATGGTGATGAGGAGGATGAAGATGATGGTGATGATGTGGATGATGGTGATGATGTGGATGACGACGATGATAACGACTGTGCCCAGGATGCCGGTGCTGCTGATGGCGACTTGAAAGAAAATCCCAGCCCGCATGAAGCGTTGACATCGTCCGTCGTGTGCTGCCCGCCATGCAGAGAAGCAGAGCGACACTCGACACCACGAGTCGCTGGCAAAGCTCGCTGGTCACGATCATTTCCTTCAGCATGAAGTGTTATCATATCGACTGAAGTTTCATGTACTGGGAGAACCGCAATGGAGACGGCAAGCCTCGGCATTTCATGTCGCGCCATTTCATGCAGCCAAGCTGCGCATTGTCGAATTCGAGGTGATAATTCAGCTACAAGGGACGCGTCTCTCTGCCTCCCTCGTATCGGAGAGCTAGCGGCAAGCGAACATCTTCAGATCGCCACGGCAACTCATCTTGCTCTCCAAGGACTGCATGCCACAAATACTCCACAACGTAGCAGGGCATGTTGGCAACCTGACAGTGCCAATGGTCTGTTTGTCAAACTTGTGGAGCTAGGGATCCGCAGCCACTAAGGCTGTACAGCCATGCGTGTAGACATACATACACACATATTTAAAGGTTTATGTGTTTATACAGACACATATACATATGAAAATCTGTACATATACATATGTACCTATGTACATGATGTACACATACATACATACATACATCCATGCATACATATTATAAACATATAAACATATAAACATATATACATATATACATATATACATATATACACATATACATATATACATATATACATACATACATATATACACATGTACATATATACATATATACGTATATACATATATACATATATACATATGTACATATATACATATATACATATATACATATTATACAAAAATACATATATACATATAAACATATATACATATAGACATATAGACATATAGACATATATAAATATATACATATAGACATATAGACATATATACATATAGACATATAGACATATATAAATATATACATATAGACATATAGACATATATACATATATACATATAGACATATAGACATATAGACATATAGACATATAGACATATAGACATATAGAATATAGACATATAGACATATATATATATTATAAAAATACATATACATATTACATATATACATATACATATACATATATACATATATATATATAATATATATATATTATATATATATATATATATATATTTATACTTATATACATATATACATATATACACATATATACATATACATATATACATATAATATATACATATACATATATACATATATACATATCCCTATATACATATATATATACATATATACATATACATATATATATATATATACATTTTTACATTTATACATATATACATATATACAAATATACATATATACATATATACATATATACATATATACATATGTACAAATATACATATATACAAATATACATATATACAAATATACATATATACATATTTACATATATACATATATACATATTTACATATATATACATATATACATATACACATATACACATATACACATTCTTACATTGTTACATATATATATATACACTTATACATATATACCTATATACATATGTACCTACGTACATATATACTTATATACGTATATAATATACATATATACCTATACACATATATACCTATATACATATATACATATATCCATATATGCATATATACATAAATACTTACATACGTATATACATCAGTTTCCACGATCTACACCGCTTGGCCACTCGCTGAACAGCCTGCAGTCGGCACTCCTTTTTTGTGCGACCGCAACGTGGGAGTCGGCCACAGATCCGAGCAAACTCATCTCGATCTTCACAAGTCCGAACGGAACCCCGATCGCTGGGGGTGCGCATTGGCATATGCCAAAGATCACATCATCATTCCGATCGAACACATCAGACGAGAAAACTTCCCAGGCCCTAAGACTCCTTTCGGAACATCCGAAGTAACGGTGATCCAACCGCAAACCAGACCTGTAGCAACATCACCACGAGAAAGCAACCTTCCCTGTGGAAGGATCCTTCAGCGCGACCACACTCCGCTTCCGGTGAGCTCGCGAAATCGGGACTTGGCTGTAGGCCCGACGTTCGTCCAGTACCCAGCCGCGGAAGAGCTTCTTCGGTAGCCGCGAGTGCGCCAGTTGATGACCGCCACATTCGAGTCGGTGGATGGGAGCTGGAGCTTCTCCGTCACGACCGTCGCCATGTTGATCCCGTGTCGCGCTATCTCCCCGGACCTTATTTTTCTGCACGACCTCGAACCTCTGCGTGGGGATCCAATGATCGTCACCCACGAACGAGGAGACCTTAGCCTCGTCGAAGCAGGGCCAACAGCCGAACCGTCTTCAACGTCTTCGAGCGTGGCTTCCCAGACCTTTGGGGAGTGCTCCGTCACGGGTGCCATCCGAAAGGACCTCAAAAGCTTCGAAAGAAACTCCCACGCCCGAGAATGAAGAGCATCCACCAAGAGGTGCTCCGCATGAGGTTTGCGATCGCTAGCCCAACGATGAGAAGAAGCAATGTCGCCGACGCCGATAGGCATGCCAAACATGATCTAATTGACGAGATCGACGTCAGCACAACCAGAGGCTTCAATAAGCTCGCGCCAGAGAGCCACATGAAAGAAAGATCCGAGAGCCACGGGATGATCATCCGCGGTACCTCTGAGCAGGCGACGCAAATGAGCATCGGACTTGCCGGCGAGCGCGAGCATCCCAGTGGGCGAGCAGCGAGGTTCGGCGATCGCAGACCCCTTTGGGGTCGTCCACCAATTGTTGGAGAACAGGCAGCAAGTCTGGATCGATCGCTGCATCCTGAGTGAACGGGTGGACGGTGTCCAAAGCGAACGCTATGGCCTCAGCGGGATGCACTCCACGGAGATGAGGGGAGCGACCACGGACTGTTTTCATCTGGTAGCCTGCGGCCGACCCGCGTGCCTTGCCATGGGAGGATCATGCGCACAGCTTCTTTCGCATTGAAGACGATCACGTCGTTGGCAAAGTCGGTGTTCGTGCCGGCGATCGCTCGGCCGTCAACCATCTGAGTGTCCTGCCCGAGCGGGTCTTCTATCCAGAGCCCCCTCCTTCGAACGATCCAAGCTTGAGCACCACGCTGAGGATCGGTTCATTCCCGGAGTCGCGATGCGGTTTGGCCTCTTGATCGTAGAGGATCGCGGAGGATGTGAAGAGGCACTCGGGAACTTGTTGAAGGACATACCGGGTGAGCACCCGGATTGCTCACGGCCGGGAATGGCAAGACGACCTCAGACCAGTGATCCCTCCATTTCTGCAGGCGCCAGCGAAGAAGGCGCTGCCACGTTCGTCGGCAGCTTTGCGCCGACCCTGATCAGGGAGCCGCAGAGCCATCTGGAGCACCTCGCCACGACCGAGCGGGGTCTTCTTCGTGTACGGCTTATACTCAGCGTCTGAGGGAACCGATCAGTGGTTGCCGATCATGGCATGCGTCTCGCCACAGACCATACAAAGATGCTTAGACCGTCTTCCGAATCGCACGATCCACAGACATCAGAAACGGAAGCCCCGGGCACTCCGAGCGGAACTGCTCGAGCTCCTGCAAGTACTTCAGGGGACCCTCAACGCGGGAGAAAGCGCAAATGTTCAGGTACTCGAGGGACATGAAGAACGCATGCAGGCGGTTGAACAACGTCATCACGTCCGTGACCGGCTCGGGCTGATCCGCCCCAGAGATGGATACTACATCCTCTGCGTTCCGTGAGAGCTCCGACCTGACGACGATCACATCAGAACGAGTTCTGATCTCGGCGGGCTCATAGAAGGGAACGATGCCGTCGATCAAGAAGTCACGGGAAAGCCGCTCAACGAACTTCTTGTGAGGTTCCTTCGCATCGATCAGGATGGCATCCGGGTGAACCTGCACGAACCGATCTTGAAACTCTGCATGATCCTGCTGCGATAGCTCCGGGAGCTTATTTGGATCCTCGTCCATGCGAGCTCTGCAGAGCCTGAGCAGCCTGCCATAGCTTCTGGCCCACGGCGTCGGTCCCGAGCAGGGTCATGTCGCCTTCCCACAACTTCCGGAGCGTCTCTTTCAAGTCAGATCTTGGCCCAGCATCGCGAACATCTCGACCGTCAGCAGTCCCTTGTCCGACAGAGGTTCGAGCTGAGACCTTGGCGGCCGAAGATCTGCCGGAGGTTCAACTTGGGCGTCGCATTCTCATTCGCATAGACGGTCCGATCCAGCATGGTGAAAGGGTCGCGCTTCGTCCCGGCGAGCCTTTTGGCTCCGTCCTCGGTGTCCTCAAAGGCGGGCCCCAACAACGCGTGAAGGTGATCGAAGACTACCATGACTCCCACGGGGTCTTCCGACCGGGTCCCTCTGTGCCCTCTCCCAGGTACTGATCGAGGTCAAAGCCTCGAAGCTGACCAGGCCTACCTTGGAGGTCCTTGGTGCCGGGCAGCGTCCCAGAGCGACCGCTACGGCTACGGATCTCCGACCCTTCGAGCAGGATCTCCGCCACCCA